TGGCGAGATCTCTGAAACACATCTCTAAATGTAATGGTAGGGTCAGGGATAAACTCGCGGATTCCATCATAGACAGACACCTACAAGCATGTGAAAATTTCGCCGCCAAAGTACTCTCAGACACTCACCACCCATTACACAATGAACTTTCAAAAGCTATATCTACATCATCCACACGCTCAAGATTTAAACTTTTATTTGCACGTACCTCTACTTATCGTAATTCTGTTCTGCCATATATAGCATATCTACTTATAGACAACGACAAAATTTCCACAGAATTGCGCAACCGCTTGCTTCATTGACAAACACAACCCATTGCTTTCAGTTTCATTATGTAATGATTTTGTAAATTTGAATCCACAAATATGGTGTAATTGCTGAAAATATACCCATCCGGGTGGATAAAGCTACTACTGACTTGACTTGATCTATTTGTAAGAAAACCACAGTGGGACAAGGAAGGCAACCAGTTTTAAGTAGTTCTCATGGGAACACTTTAATTTTCACTCTGTCACTTTCTCTCCAAATATTGCCAAGCATGATGTTTGCATCTGCTCCGTGCCTTGTCTTCATTTTAATCGAACTGACCAATCAACTGAACTCTTAACGTGACTATGAGAAACGGTCACATGTCGATCGGTATTAATCTGGTTGAATTCGTCTCCTGTTCTTAGTGTGTTTGCACGCGCCGGCCCACACAGGCACAACACTGTAGCTTGATAGCGCAGTATTCCATGGGAGGTTGTTCTTTTATGCGGTAATTGCGACCGACAAGCCTCTTTCTGGGTTGTTTTTACGTCCCCTTGGCTCGGTAATTGTGGTGAGTCAAACGTCCGAGGTGATACCAGCCAAGGTCCTATGTGTTACAGTTTCTAAAGGCATTGGACCATGAATCGACAGTACCGATCAGTTAACAGTAGTACAGTTCAGACAGAAACCACGTGACTCGAGGAACAATAACGGTGATTGGTTCATATTCGTTTGACCAATGATATTTTATTTGCCTATGATTTAATCCCATTGATTTCTCCCAATGAACGAACGGCTACTTCTCTGACCTCTTTTCCCCGCGTCTCGATAACGGTGGTGGTTAGTGTGAATTCAAATTCTGTCGAAGCTCACTCGCATCAAGTGGCACGTGACTGGTCGGCATTGCTATCGATTTTGTCATTACTGACAGACCCAATGTGTTTAATCTGATCGGTATTTCACTCGTTGACTCAGTGCGTGAATCGTGTTGACACAATTCCAGTCAGCCCGCCCGTTTCAGTTCAGTGACCCGTGTTCTTCACAAACCAGCGGGTGATGGAGGCGTCCAATTATAGCAGTAGGCAATCTCTCTGTTGCTAGTCCGCATCCCACAATTATCCTATGCAGAACGTGCGCGTGGCGGGGGTTCGCAAACCCGATTCACATCATTTAATGTAACCGGTTTACCCGCACCTGTGAGATTCATTCCCTCGAATGTCCACCTCGTTCGGGTGTGTGAACACATAGAGATCGATAGGAGCACCTTCCACAAGCACATCGCTTCTCAAACGAGCAAGAATTTGAAAAAAAGTAAAACAAACAAGGAATTTGAAAAAAAATGTTAACCAATATCCAATCATATTACAAATAGGCATTCAGACAGAGAAAGAACGAGAACCAACGACGAATCGGAGTGCAGTCAACAACTTAGAGCCTTAATGCCGGAAAAAACATACTGGAATTGGAAACTAGCGCAACAGACCGAACTATTGTGTGATCCAGATGAACTGACGTATCCAACGGCGACTGCGAATTGTCTAAACTAAATCCCAGATAGATTGAGGGTAGATTACTTGTGCGTTGGATTTGAGAATCGGCATACGAACTACGGACGTGGTCGGGGCAGAGTGTGATGTCGTTGGTTGTACAACGGTGAATTTCGGTGGACCAGCTGGAGGAGTTTGGCTTTGATTTGGCATGCCTGCGAGCACCGGGGCTGTGCTGATTATGTTGATGGCCGGACCCGAGGCTGATGATTGATGTGGCACCCTGGATTCTTCCGATCCGCTGGCCACGGGAATCTGTTCACTCTCAGTCGAAGACGGCAATTTTGGGCTTGCTGGATGAGATTTCATGGCTGGAACTGGTGTACTTGAGGATTCAGACTTCGCCGCGGAGGTGGTGGTGGTGGTGGTAGTTTCGCTGGTATCAGCTGTTATTACTTCTGACTCCGTTACTTGCATTTCTTCGGCTGGAAGCGGTGGTGGGGAAGAGTAGGAAGGGATTTTCCGCTTCGCGTTCTCTTCAGATTCCGCGTGACGCTGCTGCTCGTTTTGGTTTTGTACGACTTCAAATCGGAACCGCTGTCGTTCCGCGGGACCGAATCTGGAAGGCATTCCAGGACGAGGTGGTAGCAGGGACGGATCCAACCGGTCGTCAAAAGTATTGGAGTCACGGTGGGACGTGGTAAAGTGTCGATTCACCATGTGAAAATGTGCTCGCCGACTTGAAGAGCTCTCACCGGGCTCCTTGCAAATAAAAGCTCGCGGTTCAACACACGGAGCGAATTCGGTGGTCCAATTTCCCCGTTTCGATCGTTCCACACTTGCAACAATACAACCGTGGCTACGCACGTTCCAGTTGGAGACCCAGCGTTCTTGCTCCGTGACCGAGAAACGATGATAGTCCACCGGGGTATGGTCATTCCACATTAGGGCAAACACTTTGGGTTTGAGGTGACGTATTTTACCCCCTAGCCAAATTCCACTAGGGTAGGTTTGTCCAAAAGCATCGTTGAGCATTTCCTGACAGGTCAAAGAGGGAGGGTGAAAGGAAGTTCACCAATTAGCAAGCATACTGTCACAAACGTTTTGTGCGTAAGAACTGGCTTGTCAGAGATGGATGCATTTTGTATCAACAAGCCTAGGTATCAGCTCATTTGGTTAGCAATGACGGACCAAAATATCACGAAGGACATGTTCGCTGACTGGCTCCCAAAAGAAACACGTCTATAAGTATCCATTGCAGCCATGTCCGCATCAGGAATCTGAGTCGTAGCCATGGTAACGGGTATTTGTACAGCTATTCTCACGCTGCTGGGCCTGTGACGGAGGCGGCGTTTCAGTGAACTGAAAAAGAATAGCGTCATCGACATTCCAAGGGACGTAGAGATTTCCAATGACCCCAGCCATACTGTTTTGATGACATGCAGAAAGAAGCCAGCGGAATGTGTTAGTTTTTCGTACGATCGGGAGGACCCAGCAAGCAAGCACAACACAGCACCCAGAGGAGACAGATTAACAACAGTTGATAATTATCGAATTTGTTTGCTAGTGCCAGTGAATTTCACTACTGTTCAACTGTTTATTGACTAACTTCAGTCTATTGTGAATTTCACATCCGTGGAATTTGCGCAGGATTCAAACTTCAGCTCCAATGTAACACATGGTTTCAAGCTTCACTTTGCTTTCTTGGTTTATTTCCAANTTATGAGGATGTTAAACTTGCTCGTCAATATGAAACTGTGGTGATTCTGGCCTACGAGATGACGCATACCCTGCAGCGATACGTTACAGTTTTCGGACAACTGTGATGAGTCAACCATCCCAGATGACGCCAGAATAGCATCTACGCGTTACTGCCTCTGGACACCAAACCTCAGGCCAATTGTGCCAACCAATCAGAAGNCACTAGCACGCGATTGGCAGAGGATTGGATGACCAATGAACTTGTTTTGCACATACTATTTAAACCCCATGATTGCCTTCAATATATGAATGGCTATTCCTATGGCCTTTTTCTCGAGCTTCGGTTATAAGGGATGCTGTCATTTTAGTAGCGGGGTGATCCAGTGCTCACGTGGCCTGCGTCCGAGATTTCTTATTCGTGATTCCTATTTCGTGATCAGTGCATACTAAGATTATTAAAGAGACATACTGTGCGATATAATAACATAAAATATTGGGACATTCATTACACAACTGGCAGTCAGAGTTATCCGATTCAGTCTAGAGACAAGCCTGGTGGTAGTGTGCAACGTGGCCAATAACAGGTCAGACTGGGCGCGGTGGACCACAGTGCAAACGTGTAGCGTGTGCAACGGACACGATTTGTCAAATGCGGTCACAGCTCCCTAGAGTTCCCACTCCCGCTTCGTAGCCCGATTAACACGCCTACAGCACAGTGCGTTGCTTTCCAACATGTTCTTGATTGGTCCTAATTCAGAAGCTTGATGAGAACGCATTGGTCCTCCTACGAAATCATTTCCACCAAGTTGTAAGTAAGGTGTGGTATTTATTCCTGTTTGCTCTTAAAATACTTCATGCTCTTAAAAAGTTCTATCCGGACAGCAACGATTAGCGCCCCATCTTTCACAGGCACAGGGTACCAGGACAATACACACAGTGGCGCTGAATTGAATTTAGAGTGGGCGTTGGGATTTGAGAATGCCAGAAGAGAGGGGACGGATTCTCACATTACACTAAACATCCTTCCATACTTGGGGATGTACATTAGGTGTCGATGATGATGATGACTCGGGTGATGATGATGATGGCTCGGATGATGATGATGATGAAACGCTGGCAAACGACCGCAGTAAACCTGACCCAATTTTCCAAGTTGAAAGATAAATAGTTTAAGACAGCAGAGTGCTTCGATGATATTAGTTCAGTTTCTGTTTTGAACGTTTAATTTGCCAAAACAAGATGAGTGGTTGCAAAAGCAGCCCTCCCCGGGCTGCGTGCCAGTTCCTTCGGTGGAGTTTGAAGGACGGTCAGCTTAGATCAACAACATGTATCCTGCAATACTACACACAAGTAACTGTAAATTAACCTCTAAAATGGCTAGCATTGGTAACACTTGATCAATATTTTGGAGACTAGGTGAGAGAGTACGAATGGATGCTAAAAATGAACGAATTTCAATTGGGTAAGTAACATAGTTTAATTGATAAATAAATCGATAAATAGTAGGCAATTGAGTTACACCTACCCACTCCGCATCTGAATGCACGGAAATCAAATGCATCGGATCCGAGAACTCGGTCTCACAATACTGTTCCGCCTGTTCGAATGGAAGCGTCAGATTCTCGACCATCACATAGTTCCGGCCGTCATAGGCCACGGAAATCAGTCGTCGTATTTTGATCTCCGACTTCGCATGCTCATCCTCGTCATCTTCAGTCTGGTGGTGGTGGTGGTGGTGGTGGTACCTGTACGGCATATCCCGGACTGGAATACGGGGCGGATCCACAAACCAAGGCGAGTTGAACGTGAACGGATTGGCTAGAAAACGTGAGGATGCAGCAAACCAGGCTGCCGCGGGTGACCAAGCGCGGACCACAGTCAAAGACAAACACCAGAGATTGAAAATAAACCCGAGTCGAATCATGACGCTTGCGTGCGAACCGAATGTGTCCGTGGGACCGAATGAAAATTGGTTTGGCAAAGTATACTTCTATTTTGCACCAGATGAGGACTACTCATCCAGATTAATTTATGATCAATAGGTCTATACAGCCGGATGATAATGTGTAGTACGAGGCGATCAATGTAATTATCATCGCGAGTCTTTTACCGCTAGATCGATACAATTGATCGATCGATATTAGGCCATGCATCGCACATTTCTGCTCGTAGCTGAAACCTGTTAACCGCTTACCAGTACATCCTAGTGGTATTGATTACAAAATTGACGGAATCATGATTTTAAGTTCATGAACTATGGGGTCTTGCATTCTTAATAGTTTAAAACACATCAATTCCAATATGATGAAATGCAATTCACTGACTATACCATCATCATCCTAGACTGCTCAGTTAGGTTCGCCTTTGACATGTGCCTATGCAACAACGAAAATACACTGACAGTAGTCAAATGGAATTAAACGAATTTTGCGAAGCTCTCATTTTTCGGAGTCACCAATTTCTGAAACAGTTATTAGATTCAATTTCACTAATGTTACTCTGAGATAGTCGAGAACAAAAAAATCAGACAATGCGCGTCCGAACGAAATGGGAACGGTTGGAGCGGCGGGTCTGACGGGGAGCCGAACAGGCGATGGTGAGGTTGAACGGAAGCAACCAGGGTAATTTCGGTCACGTGCTGACTAGAGATCCTAATCTTCATGAATCAAGATAGCTGGGGCCAATGCTACGCTTGTCATCGGGAAGGATGCTTTAGCAAGTGGTGCGTTGTAGAAGGCGAAGACTCGGTTCAAGGGACTCGTTCATTTGGGTTGTGTTAAGCTTCCTGGTTGGGGATTTGCTGATCGATTTAACTGACGAATACAGGGCACGGAGCGACATGACCGAATAGTGTAAACAATCGCGATTATGTGCCTATTCGCTGACTACGCATATATATAGTTCATTAGATAGTAGTATCTTGATTGTAACTATGCTTTCCGCTTTGAACTGTTCCATGTGGTTCTCCTTCATTGATCGACCAAGTGGGTAGCTGAACAAAACCGCGGTGCACAAGGTTGGTTGTGTAGAACTAAACTTACCCAGTGCTACGAGTCATGAGGGAATTCACTGCACCTGTTCCCATCAAGCTTTAGCCAAAGTCTGCAATAGTTTAGTCTTGATGCGCACGCTTTAATTATACCACTCACTGTAGGCGATTTAGATCAAAAAGTAGCGGAGCATTCAAAGGTCAACGCGTATCGAAATATTTTGTTTTCCCGAGATGTTGATGTTTCAAAGTTTAGCTAAGAAAGATGAGAAGATGTGACGATCGTAACCGGTGCAGTTGACTGTCATAATTGGATTAAATATCGCATCACATATTGAATGGCTTCTTGGTGTTATGATTCCAGAAATCGGGGTGCAGGATCGAGGAGAATGGTCTATTATGAAACACAGTTAGGGGATGGACAAATTGGCATACATACGACAAAATATCTCATTTGGAAGATGTCATCAAAATTCACAGCCACACACAGGATAATGAATGGAATAGTCCGTTCCGGAAGGTCATGTTCATTTTTAACCGTTATGAGTAACCGCGAATCACATTCCTCTGCGCGGTCTAACTATACTACTCAAAAATATGAGTAGGATCTCACAACACCGGGCACATCGAACAGGATTATGACTGTGATTGATCAATTGCTGGACAGACATCACTACTCGGTCCGGAAGCTGACCCCCCCCCGCAGCCCGTGGAGCGGAACTCGGAAAGTGTCGAAGTAAAACAAACGGCACTGTCGCAGCTATGGACGCTCTGAAGTAGGCTGTAAAACTGTTCGAACACTCCAGCAAAAGACCCAGATTGGACATACTAACATGTTATTCTGTCGCTCGTTTCTTGAAATATGAATACAATCCAAAGATTACTAGTTATATTTTCAATGGGTTTATTTCAAGCTGCTCTATGTTAATCGCGCTTCTGATTAACCATGCGTTTCAGTTATGTTTATCTTTGACAAGGCACCCGTTCAATGGAAGGCTTTGGATGCACATGCCGACCGACAAATTCTATCTCCTTTACCATATAACCCTTTTTTAGCTCACTGGAAGAAGCCTTCACAACAATGAAACAGGTGAGCTTCAGTAACTGTTTTTTGCTTTCTGGATGACCGGAAATGCATGAATTGAAGTGACACAATGTTTTGTGTTATGGAAGATCTAAGTCTTTTCTGTTCATTCAATGACAAAACAGTTTATCATTCATCACTTTCTTAAGCCATATCGATGACGTAATTGCCTCTCTGTTCTGCCTATGTAGATGGCTGAGCATTTACTGAGGCTTTAGCCATTCATACCCTCAAATTCGAGCTATGCAAACAGGTAAGCGTCTTTAATTATCCAATATGCTTATTATTTAGCTCTTAAAAAACTGGTTCAATGAAAACACTGGGGCCATAGGAGATGTACCATATAGGATATCGTTTAAACCCTAACCAATCAATATGTGGTGCGACATTCGATGCCATTGCGACTGCGCAGCATGCGATCGCCACACGTTCTCATTTCTTAGCCAAGCATTGCAACAACAACATTTGTAGATAAGCAAATGTTTCAACATTCGCTAACCTCAGAATATTTCGATACTTTTTTGATCTGACTTGCCTACATCGGTATGTTTAAAGTTTGTGTGTCGAGGCTAAACGATTGTGGGTCAAAGTTAACGGAATGTGGGTTTGGGTTGAAGGATTGCAAGTTTTGGCTAAAGTTTGACGGAAAAAGGTGTACAGATTTCTGTTTTCCAATTGGAAAACCGGTTCACACCTAGTACGGACCATTGCTTGGTTAAGTGAGATCGATATTAGCAATGAACTTCCATAAATCGATCATGGTTTGTTTTGAAAGAAAAACAAATTGAACAGCTCAAACTGTGGCCTGTAAGTCAATGGCATAGTCCTCTGATTTCAGGGCTTCTGAGAAGGATCTCCGTTTTATCGTTCCAGAAAACCAAAGCTGTTTTCTAAATTGCTCCAGAGCGACGTGCACTGCAGCTATAACATATGTTAGTTTGCTAAAGTGAGTATTTGGCAAATTTGAATCTATGATGTTCTCACGATTGTTATCAGCCTACAATCGACCCCACATAGAGTATGCAATTCCATCGTGGAAGCTATGACTACAACACAATCGACAACCGACGATTTGTGCGGAAAAGTCGACCGCTGCTGTCTGATGGAGCGAAACGAGATTCGCGTCAGTTTTCCAATTTGTGACAGCACAATTATATCGAACATTCGACTAGAATAAACGATTCCGTGGCTATATCCGTCGTTTTGTGAATTGGGACAGCAGTTGGTTGATGCCACTCCTAGGAACAGTTGTGCCCTGGAGCGTCATTGCGTATAAGCGACTTTGAACCGGTATACCAATTAGGTTTCACTTCTTTTTTTTGATTTGGTACAAGTCCAACTTCGCGCGGACCTAGTGAACGGGCTTATCGTCACGTGACATGTGAAGCAAAGAATGCGAGCATAGACGGGACTTAGCGTAATAGGATCCTGATTACGCGTCTCAGAGACACATGAGAGTTCATTGAGCGCACAAAACGAGCTCGTTGACCCACCAACACGAGCCCTCATCCACCCCCCGGCCGATTTAGAGAATGACGAGGTTTCAGAATACACAATTTATTCGGCTCTAAGCTAATTACAAAGCTAGCTGGCAGCAGGTTTTGGCGAACGATGAACAGATTGTCTATTAAGGCATTACGGGTTGGAAGAACGAGCTCATGAAGAGAGGCTTGGGTATGGAGGACAAAGAATTAAACTGTGTTTCAAAACCCGCAGTGTGCCCATTAATTAACGTCACGCACAAATTGGTTTTAAACAATGCTCTAGCAATGCGTCCGTTTAATTCACATTTAACTTACAGTTACTTGTGAGTAGTAATCTGCAATTTGGGGTATAATTTCACGTATGATTCGTCCGAAAAAATAGCACCTTTGCTTAGGTGAACAGTGGTGAATCATTAAGTGCTGTGGGTCGGTGACCAAAACCCTGTGGGCGAAAGCAATATGCACCAAACAGTTTTTCCGTAATCTGAGGGGGGGGGGGCGAAATACAAGTCAGCAAGAATAATATGAATAATGGAGGGCCGAGAAGATACGGTTAATCCCAATTTGTGATATGACTCCTTTGGATTGGGCATGTCGTCAGGACACGGAAAGGGAGGGTGGCGGGACGCAAAACTATGAGGTACCATGAATATATCTTTCAGGACGGGAACCATTGAGGAAGATAGGAGTGGAAGGGTCACTATGATAAAGTGCTAGGATCATACAGATTTTTTAAGCATGATGGATAGAATTTTGTTCCTAATTTCTTTGAAATTCGTACCAGTGAAGTTCGTTCGAAAGGACATCCTAAAAGAAAACGGGAATCTTGTTAACAAAAAGACATGCTCTGCCAATTTCCCGGACTGTTCGGCTATGTTAGGACGGAGTTCAGGACGCATCACGCCACAAGCGCGGTCACGACGTGCCAGGCAAGCCGGGTCCGGATTGGATGATTGCAGAACAAGTGTCAGCCAACGATTGCCCGATCGACCAATCAGTGTCAAGGCCACAAACCTGATTGGTGCGTGACTGTGGCATTCTCGTATCCCTGATCTACCACCATTTATTTGCGTATCGAACCTTAATCCTTGGCATGAATTTGGACAGTTGTCACGAGTCGTCCTCTCTCTCTCTCTGTATCATTGTTGTTGTTCGGACCTGAACGAGAATCGTTTGTCCAGGTCGACGTTTTGTCCTACTGAGTGGGTTCGGGCACCCGTATGACAGCAAATCATCGAATCAGTCGGCTCAGACCACCCTAGCGGCAAACTGGCTCCAGTGATACAAGAACAGCCTGATAGAGTCATGCGTAAAAAACATATTGCCCCGGCAAATTAAGGAACAGCACAAAGCTGATGTGGTTCACGTCATAACCACACAGATCATGACAACTTTGATCGTACAGTTGTCAGCAATGCTCGAACGCGGTTCGCTTTCGTTGGAAGCGTGGTGCGAGGATCATGGTGAAACAAACCAGATGAAAATTAGGATTTATGGAAAACAGAATTCTGTGAAAACCCTAAAGCACAAACCAGAGTTACAATGGACTTTGTTACGTCACGATTGGTGTATTAAATGACAAAAGACAGAAGAGGTACTCTCTGCAGTTTCGAGAAATTTGAGCCAGTTTTGAATGCACAGAATCAAAGGAGAAGTGAGTGTAATAAGCAATGGAGATGAGTATATGCGAAGAGGAATGATGCAGAATTGGTGATTCCATCCGGGACAGTTTAGCAAACAGACAGTACTGTGAAATATCAAATTGCATATCTCCTCGTTAGCAGAAAAAAATGGGAGAATATGTACAACAACTGGCTATGTACACCGTCACACATTTTTGTAGGTCGAATCCTGATTTTCAACCGGGACAATGTTCATTTTCTGTTCTCGTTGTCGCTCATGATAATAGTGAGCAGCTT